TTTTTTGTGATATTTTGAAGTGCACTTTTCAAGGTATTTTATACAATTATATGACATTTTATGATATATTTGAACCTATCTCTAATGATGTTTTAAGTTATACTTTTTAATGTATTTTATAATATTTTCCCAGGCGTTTTTTTGTTGAGCTTTTTAAAAATATATTTTAGTGTATTTTTGTGAAATAATTTTTTCAAGGTATTTTGCGGTTTTTATTCCATTTGAGCCTATTTTTAATTATATTTTAATTACTATTTTATGTTATTTTTGATGATATTTGTGAGGGTACTTTTCCACAAAAATTGTATAAAATTTCTAAATTTCTTTATTGTCTATTATATAGTGTTTTCGATCATATTTTAAGGTTATTTTTTTATAGTTTTTTTACTCCTGTGCCAGTTCCTCGCTCTCTCTCTTATTCTCTTTTCTCCTTTCTTCCAGTGTGGCTTAGTATTTAAGGGTGAATTTTAATTTCTGCCATGTAACACCCCTTCTCTTTCCCGCTCTCTAGCGTTAGCTCTCTCCCAGTGAGACTCTTAACAAACATTACTTTTCATTAGATTTCGCACGATACTTAAAGATACTTTCAAAATTGTCTTTCAATATTTTGTGTTTTTAAGATTTTTTTTCGGTTAAAGCATATTTGAAAATACATTGAAGTACAAGCATTGAAAATATTTGAAAAATAAATTCTATGTTTGTTTTAGCATCATCTAACGAAAATTATACTTATTTTTCTTAGCAAGCATATCATCTGGCACACTTTTTCCGCCCTACCCTCAACTCTCTTCCCAGCAGATCTCTTACATGTCTTACAGGTCCCAAAATTACCTCAGAAATGCCCTCTAATCCTTAGCCCTTGATACTTGATACACTTTCGCTTGAAACTGTAACCGTAATTATTATATCTTATGCATTAGGCCAAAGGCCAAAACTAAAGACAAAAACACAGTTCCATTACGCACAAGACACCAAGTTCATGGAGGCATAAATTATGGGACCATAGGCGGCGTCAGAAGGGGGTTTCATACCTCCTGCTGGGGGTAAGCCCCTGCCTATTGTCCATGAATATTTATGGGCAAAGCAGAAGCTAATAACCAGAGCCCCCCGAGAGAGAGAGAGAGAGAGAGAGAGAGAGAGAGAGAGAGAGGACTACAAGTATCTCATAGATGGCCGGCCGTACAACTGTTAATTGAATGTAAATGACTAAGGACCGCCCATTCAATTACCTCCCCCCAAAACACAACCTGTGGCAGCCCAAAAGCCCAAAAGATCTCGATATATATGCTGTATAGTATTATCTGTTACCTTTGTGTGGGTGAGGAAAATCAAATCATGTTTTTCCTGCGCCAAGTGTTGGGGAAATCTATGCAAATGCTTCGAGGGTCATGCAATTTTCTTAGGGCCAGAGCATCAGCATAAATTAGGGACACTAAGGGAAGACGGTTTCAATCAAAAGCGAAGACTTATCGGGGTATAAAGAGGGTTTTCTCTCAGTGTAAATGAGTAGCTCTCGAGCCCTGGCACTTGACTTGTCGAGTGCCATGGAGTGCCAGAGGAACTTGTCTAAGATTTCAATTTATATGATAACATCTGAGGGCTCTCCACCCTATAATCCCCACACACCCCACTCGTTCTACCCCCTCTCTTCCTCTCTCCACCCCCCAAACTATAACAAATCTACCATTTTTGAAGTGAAGTTGAAATGAAATGAATGTCTAAGCAAATTTTCACGGTATAAAAACTTGTCTCTCACTCTCAATCCATTTGGCAATTCATTAGCCACTCCCTAGTCTCCTCCAGGGGGCGGGGGAGGTTCGGTGGGGGGTGGTGGGGAATTGTATTGGTTTTGCTTTTGACTGAAATGTCAACGGCATGCGGTGTGTCGTGTCGATTGGCTGCCCTGCAGTGACTGGCAAATTAATTAATAGTTTTGTCTCCCACCTTCAGTCCTGTTTCTCTCTCTCTCTCTTCTCCTGTCTCTGTCTCTTTCCCTATCCCTGTAACTCTGCTTCCTCCATCTATCTATATCTGTGGCTTTTGGTTTTCTAAGCACTTTGAGTACCCCACATTGTAGAGGAGGATTCTGTAGGACGATTGCTATTAGCATTGATTGGAGGCGTCCTTTGTTTGTCTGGCATTTGACCAAAATCCCCAACTCTCTCTCTCCCGCTCTATCTCTGGCCTCTTGGACTTTGTTGCGGTCGGAGTTTTGGTTCCTTGGGTTTGGGTTTTGCTTCTGATTCCTCTGGCCCTTCTCCGATGGATGGCTCGTTTGATGATTAGCTACTTGTGAGTGTATAATTATTGGCTGTGTGTGTGGATGGGTTTCTGCTTGTGGCATTACAGGCATGTCCTCCACCGGAGATCGAGTGGTGTAAGATATTCATAGTACCTGATGGGTAGTCTTTTGGGTGGAATTTATCCCAAATTTTTATGGTTATTAGAGGATTTATGTGTGGGACAATTCAAGGAGGCAATTATAATGAATGAAAGTACATTGAAATCCGTTTTAAAAGTAGAGGTAGAGGTTTAGGGTTAGAGAATTTTCTTGGGAGGCGCTAGGAGAATATCTGCGGGAGAGATTTTCGATTTTGAAGAAAAATCTATCAACAGGGAAACCACTCCAAGAGGAAAACTCCCTCCTTAGCAAAAAAAAAAAAGATCTAAAAAACATTTTCTTATCTTTTGCAGAAAATATTCAAAGTTGTGCGACTTTATATGGCAATACTTCCTTGAATAAAAGTTTATAGATTATCATTTTTCAATCGATTATATGTGTAAAAGCTGTAGACAAGCAATACCGAAGTTTCTTTAATATAAAATCAATAAATTATCTATAAAATAGGTCTATAAATATGTTATAGATATACCGATGATTAAGATATACCGGATTACCTATTATTTGTCAATCTATATAGTTCTTAACGATTGTGTTGTTTATTAATCAATATATTATCGATAAGCTAGCCATATTTTGTATATAAATAGTAGACATATTATCGATAAAAGATCGATAAAAAAATGGTGTGTATGTCTTAACGATTTTCATTTGGATTAATCGTTATATTTTAGATAAGCTATCGATATTTTGTATATAAATGATCGACATATTATTGAAACATTATCGTTAAAAGATCGACATATTATGGAATTGTTATCGATAAAATATTCGATCGATTAATAATCGAAATTAAATCGAAAAATAATCGAAATGTCATCGATAAATAATCGAAATATAATTGATACATCATCGAAATTACATAGAAAATAAACTAAATGTTATCGATAAATAATCGCCACGTTATCGGTTAATTATAGATTTACTATCGATTCATTATTTATATGTATATAGTACCGCTTCAAATTCACTATTTTATAGATTTTTTTTATCGATTTAGTTTAAATTAGGAATCGATTTGTTATCAATACATTTATTTATATTAAAGTGAAGCAAAGATAACTTATCAATATATTATAGATTTAATATCGATTCATTATCTATATATGATATCGCTAAAAAATGTACTATTTTATAGATTGTCGATCGATTTTGTATCAGTTCAATATCGATATGCTATCGATCCAAAGATAACTTTCACTCTCTACAAACTTTTGCATCTTTTAGTTGATTTTCCCCTAAGTTATGACAACATCTTCTTGTGGGGGGGCTTACCTTGTGTATCCGATACTTTTGTGTCAAGTAGTGGAAGGGGGCGTTCTTTTGTGTTATTCTTGGGCAACAGATTTTACAGCTACTTAATCGATGTAAACTTGATTTCAAGAACAACAACAGCAGGACGGAGCACCCAACACCGAGCAACCAACACTCGGGCAAACAATGAAGAAGATTGTAAGCAAACAATGTAACCAAATTGTGCCAACAAATAAACCGAAGACAGTAGAGGGTGGAGAAGCTACCAGCCGGAAGGAGGCGGAGGTTGGAGGAGGACGACAGAAGAAGCCGCGGGTCAAGCAGCAACAAAAGAATCCATCGGGTGAGAGGAACAAAAACAGAGCTCCTTCCTTGGGTGTAAATGCCAGAGCGTTCAGTGATTTAGTGGCCTTCTGTTTGCATAAGTGTGGGTTTTGTTTGCATCGGTTTATTGTATATTGTATATCTACGGGCGAATGTGTGGGTTGATTGGGTTGAAGGCAGAATAAATAAACATGAAATCAGCAACAGCTCCCAAGCTGAAAGCCCCGATAAGTGTATAAGCAGAGTGGCAGAGGGATTTTGTATCTGATTTGAGGAGAGTCTTGAGGCGAGTGGGGGAGAGGACTAAACAAATCACAGAAAGCAGTCCGAGTATGTTGAGTGAGTTGTCTACCCACCCCCCCAAAAAAAAAACCACTCCAGTCATGACAATTAAGTGACTGGTGGATCAGGCAGGTGACAGGAGATTTTAGGAATAGTTGGAGTAGATTTCTCTAAGCAAAGGCCAAGGCCAGCCTCTGCCCAGTCTCCTACTCCTTCTAATCTAATCAGCTATAAGTTTTTAATCATAGAATTTTCTACTCTGTCCTACCGCAAATTCAATCAAGTTTCTTTCCCTAAAAGTGCGGCTACCGAGGCTTGTAAACCACTTGAACTGGTTTCCTAATCACATAATGGCCCTAATTAGGGTGTAAAAAGTATAGCTATAGATAAGCCAGCGAGGCAGTAATTAAACGAAACAGAAATCGAATCGCAATGGCTAATCAGCTGGCAGTTGGCAGTTGGCAGGAAACCTTTGCTAGACGATGATTGATATGCGACCTGGCTTGTACACAAAATTGGCAACACATAAAAAGGAAGATACGATACGACAATGTATCTGTGGAATGTGTACCTCCGAAGAGTCATCATAAATTTTTGTTATCTATTTTTTTTGTGTGTCTTTTGGGCCATATCTTATCGGGTATTTTGTGGAGCTACAAGTTTTTAGCACTGATTGGAGGGAGCTTCTCATCATTCTTTATCGAGCTACAGATTGTGTGTGTGTGCGGGTGTGCGTGTGTTGGGTTGGGTGGAGCGCTCTTCGGTTCGGTCTTTTATTGAAGGAAGTTTTTAAATTAAACTAAAAACTAAATAAAACAGCTGACGTCATAACTTAGGCAAGGGCTTTCTTTTTTGTGTGTTATTTTTCTGTGAAATCTACATTTGATTTGGAGCTGTTTAGGCCTTGAAGATCAGAGCCATGGCCAAAGCCACAAAGCCAGCAATCATGGGCAGCGTCTGACTGGCAGAACTGGCATAGCATCTAAGGGGGGAAAAAGAAGGATTAGAACTGATCTTAGGCAGGATCTTGGGGCAGGGTAGGGGGGGGCGGACTCACCCAACTTGCGTGACATTGCCATAGGTGCCATTCTGGAAGTTGCTGTAATGCAGAGAGGCATTGTTATTGGCCGTCGCGATGTCTGCCGCCGTGTAATTGCTGCGCGCCAGGATAAAGCCATAGCTAGTGCTGACATTGCTGGCATCGGTATAGCCGCAACCCACTAGATAGGTATAGTTGAAGGACAACAGCTTGATGTAGACGCCCGCCTCGTTCACGCCGTTCTTCTGGAAGGTCACATTGTAGCCGGCCGTCGAGGGGACACCTTCAGCGCTGGCCACCAGCGTAATGTTGGCCTTCTCGCTCACATCCATGTAGAGCGAGGGCTGGTTGCTCGAGTGGCTAACATTGACCAGAACATTGGTGTTTTCCCACAAGTCCACATTTACTTGGATGCAGGACACATCGGCCGCAGGATTGCGGGCAACCTCGAACCACTGACCCGCCAACTAATGATGGAAAAGGAACAGGCATTAGCTTTGGGTGGGCAAGGGGGCGAGGAGTGTCTTTTCACTTACAGCCGAGTCGTTGAAACTCAAACTGCTGGCAATACTGCTGCACGAGGCGGGAGAGGCTGGAACAGTCTGTCCCTGCACCACAGACGACGACACAAGGACCGCCGCCACGATGGCCATACAAATCATCACACTTTTGCACATGATCTTTCTCTCTTTCTCACTACTTTCACTGGTATCTCGTACTTCTTTCCCGGTTCTACTCCGTTCGTTTTCGCTGCAAGTGCGTCGTTCAACTGAGCTCGGATTCCGCACAGAACTTGCTTTTATAGCCATGTGTATCTTTTGTCCCATTATCGAACGTCTGCACCTAGAAACACACAGATACCGATACAGTTACAGATACAGATATACAGGGTGTATTCAGTCACCGATTTACGTACATCTGATGTCCGTTATCATGGCCCAGACCGAGGCATGAGTAATCTCTTAAGGCTTAGGGAGCTATCAGTTTTGTGTTTGTTACTGATTTTCCATGTTCTTTTCGGGGGCGCTACCTGTTGAAAAATTCCCTAGACGTAAAGCTCATTGACATGGCCACACGATTTTCCAGGAAATTATGAACTTGTACCGAAATAGATCCATTGCCTAATTGATTCAACAAATTCGTTTGCCCGCACTGAACCCGTTAACTTTCCCATTATAAAGAGCGACTATCTTTACGGTTTCTTTTTTCTTTCTATCTATTATTGTTGTTTACATTTGCAAATCAGGCCTTCATATATGCCAGGAAAAACGGCATGAAATATACGATTATACAATAAAGATATATATTTATTTCACTATATTTTTCATGACTGTAAGGCTTATTATTTTATATCTAAAAAAGTAGAGCCTACAGGTTTTTTTTCTCGCAGGATTCCACATATTACAAATTACCTAAGATTATTGGCTTATTTTGTTGTAAAACCTGAAGAAACTTTGTAAAAATTTACCTTTAATTCTTTAAAAATTCATAGTTTTTTCCCCTGTTCTTTCTATGACTTTTGCCATTACTCATCCTTCATAAAAAGTGTATAAATATTTCTTATCAATAGATAGCCTGACATAAAACCCCGACCTGTATTTAATTGCAGTCGCACACGTTGTATCTAAATCTTTTGACGATCTACGAGCCCATCCCTTGGTGTCTCTCCCCAGAGCATCGCACATGTGATTGTCTCAGACCATGACTCAGATTTGGCGACATTAAAAATAAAAAATAAAACAAGAAATCGGAAACGCAAAAACCCCGTAGCAGATAATGACACTATTCTGTTGTTGCCTCTGATAAATGGCAATCAGAGTGTGCAGAAAGTACAGAAAACAAGACGGGAAAGAAAGGAAGCTACTGCGCGACGAAGCCTTTGATACCCTCAGCGATTGATCGAAGCGGATATGGTACTTAAATAAGTAGTACACATAAATTGTATCGAAACTAAAGAGCTAGACAGTAGATATGACTATATTCCCCTGAGTGTGGATGCTAAAACAGCTCAAGGACGCTTCGATAGTTGATAATGCGAGTACCCTCCGAAAGGGTAGTTTTGATCTATGTTAAGTAAGGCTCTTTGCAGTCGCTTTGATCAGTTTTAATTTTGGATTAGTGTTGATTCTTTTCAGTGTTGATTAATGTGTTTCAGTGTTGAGTAGCGCTTTTAGAAGCCTTTTCAATCAATTTTACAGTTCTGATAAACTTTGATCGATGTTAAGTAGCGCTCTTTGAAGGTGCCTTTAACAGATTTAATTGTGGTTCAGTGTTGATTAATTCTCTTCAGTGTTCATTAATGTTTTTCAGTGTTGAGTAGCGCTGTTAGCATTCATTTCGATCAGTTCTAAGTGTGAATCAGAGTTGATCAATATTCTCCAGTGTTGAGTAATGCTCTTAACTTTTTGAAAAGTGTTGGTTAAGGCCAATAAAACTAATGAAATGTAAGTAATGAAAAGGTTTGGGTTTAATTGAAAAAAAACATAAAATGCGAAAACACACACTCCCTCTGCTGTTCTTTATTGCCCGAAAAGTGTTGAACAACGCTTCAATCACTTATAATCTACTAGCTTTTCACTTGAACAAACCCACAATTCAAATAAGATTTAATGACGAGCCTCCAGTAGACACAAAAGTCCAGTCACAGCCAACAGGAAAACGGAGATCATCGTCAGGGGATTGGCACTGCTGGGGGCATAGCAACTGGAAAAAACAAAACTATGACCATAAGATATAATGGATCGACCCGAATACATACGTTGCGCCCTGAGTGATCGCGGACATGCTGCCGTTTAGGAAGTTGAAGGGAAAATTGGCTGACGCATTGCCCTCGAGTTGGTTCAATGTATCGGTGCTGGGTGTACGATCTCGGGTGAGGACCAAACCAAACGATGTCCCATTATCCGTGGCATTGGTGTAGCCGCAGATGAAGGCAAAGTCCGTGTAATCGGTATTCAGCACCTTGAACAAGGTGTACGGCGAGTAGTTGGGTGGATTCCAGTACGTAAAATTGTAGCCATCTTGTTCCTCTGTAAAGTTCGCCACTGTCAGGGTGGCGTTCATCGTTTGATTGACCCACGGATAGTCCGGCGATACGCCATAGGTCGTGGCGATTAAAACATTATCTTTGGGCTTATCCAAGACGGTAATATTCACTTCAGTGCAGAAATAAGTGGTGGATGGCAGACGGGCAACCTCCCACCAAATGCCAGCAAACTACAGAAGGATATTCGGGATTGTCTTGGGTGTTATACGAGTATGTATGGATCCTGCGGCACCATCTCTCCCTCACCTTATCCAAATCCAAGGCAATACTTGTGCTCAAATTGCAGGCCTTTACAACATCATTTTGAGCTACTGCGGTGTGATCCCCCAGCAGTACGACCAGCAGAAGGCAGACCACACCCAAAACTTGACTCTTGGGCAACATTATGCGTATATGTTGCTTGTAACTCGGCCTCAGATCAGCGACTGAGGTGGCGACCAGTCACGAACCCAACGAGGATTGTCATGCGCACGACGTCAGTCGGTAATCAATCAAACCGTGATATCTTAAAGCTCTCCAGTTCAACGATGATAAACCATGAGTCACCTGTGTTGGATAATGTCCAGACTGCAAAGATCATTTAGAATAGTAGCTCTTCTCTTAACCTGCTCTCTAAATATTTGCTAGCATTAGCTTAATCGTTCTGTCTTGTTATTTCTTGGAATTATGGCACTTTGTATGAGTGACATGTGATTGTCCGTTGAGTCCATCAGTGTGGAAAGTCTGGCCCGCAATTAGCCCGCCCACTGATCTGATAATTGTGTAACTTGTGACTGCGATATCTTTCTTTTTTTTTGTGATAAGACCCCTCGAGTGATTGGCAAACAATTCAAGAGCATAGGTCTCGCCATATCGATTTGCTCATTAGGGGTACTTTTGCAACACAGATTGGACCTCAAATCTTGGTCTAAACCACGGGTAGTGCAGTAGTTTTCAATGGCCCACTTTCGGGAGCCTTCTGTACTAAAACTTTAAAGTTGAAACTTCTTTAAACAGTGTTGAAAAGCACCTCTCAGGGGAGACGATTATGTTAACGTCTTCATGTCTTCACATGTTCACTTGTCTTCAGGCTCGTGTCTTGTAAGCTCTCAAACACCTCTATATCGCATTAATTTTAAATGTCTTACAAGCTCTTTCGTGCAGAGAGAGAGAGAGAGAGCGAGAACTTTTGCTGACACTTTTCCAGGTACAGTTGACACACATTTACCGTTATTCGGCCATAGGCTTTTGTCTTGGGAGTCGTTTCGTTTCGTTTCCCTTGCTCGCAAAACTTTTGCCAAAAAAGAAGAGTTTTTGCTACTACAAGGGTGTATCTATTATTTAATTAAAACTATTTCGAGTTCTCTCTGTCGTGTAGCGATATGTGTAGGTGTAGGTGCAGGTGTGTGTGTGTGTCTAAATAATTTAATTGGGGCATGTGTGAAAATTTTGTATTGAATGACAAAACGCTCCTCTGCCAAGCACAACTTTTCGAATTGTTTTCGGTGCAGTAGAATGTTATTGCAGCAGGGGGTTTTCTGCAGGTGGAGAGTGTGACCCCGTAAACTTTTGATTAACACAAAATGGTGCCAGAACTGTGCACAGCTCAACAACTAATTAGCTTCGTGTCTCTATGGCAGTAAAGAGTTTAGGTTTTCTTTAATGCGACAGATTGACAAGGAATAGAAAATAATTGGGTGTTCCATTTGTAATTTTTAATAAAATAATTATATATGTATATAATATAATATTGCACCTAATTGTGTTTTTACACGGTAGATTTATGCGACAAATTGACAAGGAATAGAATATAATTGGGTGTTCCCCTTAGAATTTATAATAATATAATAATATATATAAAATATTACTACACCGAATCCTTTTTTTAGATTTTTATTTGTAGATTGTTTCCTAAAAACCCGTGTAAAAAAATACTGTGTAAAAATAGAACTAGTTGTGGATAAATAATAAAATATAATATTATATGTATATACAGGGTGCGCCATCTTTTTAACTAAAACGAGGGGGAACGTTGTGAGTTGCTGCGGAGACCGCAACTCTACATTTATACCCGATACTTAGTCAGTATGGCTCTCCTCCGGCAGACGCCGCTAATATTAAACGACACGACAAAGAGTATGGGTTCTGAGATCCTTGAACTCATATTTTGCAATTGGCAAAACCGACCATGAAACCTGTGTGTTAGAGAGAGACAGAGCGAGAAAGAATGAAATTGTTTTCTTCATTCTGGCTATAATAATTATACGATCTGGTTGAGATTTTACACCGATTACCGATTTCCATAAGTGAGGTATTTTTATTTGGTTTGGCTCTTTATGATATATTTAGAATATGTTTTGAAAACAATATCAATTAAGTGGCCGCCTCTATAAGCAATTCTGCGTATGCCATGGCGGAATATATTATACATATTAATATATAAAATAAATAAATATTATATTATATTATATTATATTATAATATATTATATTATATTACATTATATTATATTATATTATATATAATAATAAAACATTTTAGATCATTATTTTTCCGTAAAATTGTATATTTTCACGAAAATATTATCTATCTAGATAATTTATTATTTAAATCTCGCTTTAAATGCATTTCATTGACTTAATTTGTTTGCAATTAATTTCTCGTTTAAAATAATAAATAAATAATGAGCGCCTTGAGTGTCTTTGAGTGGATTTTTAAAGTCAACCTTGGTTCTGCTTGTTTTCCAGCCTCTTGTCGAGGTCAGTTTTCTTGGAAATTATAAGTTTTATTTTATGCTTCGCTGAATTCTCTTAATTTATTTTTAGAAAATGGAAAACTTTTTATTTGTATCAGAAATTTGTATGATTGTGGGTAATGTTTGTGGAACAAATTGAAAGGAATTTAAATCAATTGCGTGGCCTTTGTGTGGGGCAAGCAAAAGCTGCGACTTGTGCGGTATATTTTTCAGTGATATCATTCTTGTCTGGCACTCTATAATCTTTTTATTTATAGAAAAGATTGTGGGAATTTCTGTTGTCTGGTAATTTATTCCTTAGTGATTAATGTTTTCTTGCTATATGGACCCAGATTTTTCCCTTGGGTTCTTTTAATAGAGCTTTTACTGTACTTTAGCTTCACTTTCGCTATTCCTTTGGCCTTCACTCTGTTGAAGCTCTAATTGATCGCATTTATTACAAGTCTCCTTACACGCGGCACGCACTATCTTCATTTTATTTAATTAGCTCGAGGAGAGCTTTGAATCTTCTTTCATTAACAGCAAACATGCTTGAGCGGCGCTCTCTCCGCTCGCACTCCGCAGCTCTCCCGCTGGCAAGCTCTTTCCACCACTCTGCCGCTTGCAAGCTCTCTCCGCCGCTGTCTTTTACTCCCTTTTTTAACCGCAGCAAAAGTGCAGCCACATTCACACTGCGAAAATAATTAAGTTGTTTATCTTAATGCAAACATATCCGTGGCACACTCCCACACACTCACACATACACAAACTCGAACACTAGCTTTGCACGCTCTCTCTCTCTCTCTCTCTGACTGCCGCAAGCTATGGTCTCACTGCAAGTAACTGTTAATTACAGCTAGAGCCTTATGCAAAACTAAAGAAAAACGTAAGAGCGAGAGAGGAAGCAGCTTGCAAGAAGGAGGAGGAGTGAGAGGGGAGTAAAGGCAAGAAGGCGGAGAAGCGAGAGCGGACGAAGTGCTAGAAGGAGGAGGAGGAAGAGCGGAATAATGCCAAGAAGGAGGAGAAGCGAGAGCGGAATCAGTGCAAGAAGAAGCAGAAGGCAGGGCGGAATCAGTGCAAGAAGGAGGTGTAGCGGGAGCGAAATAAAAGCAGGAAGGCGGAGAAGCGAGAGTAGAGCAAGTGCAAGAAGGAGGAGAAGCAAGAGCGGAACAAGTCCAAGACGTAGGAGCAGAACAAGGTACATTAAAGTGTAGGTAAAGCAGTGCCAAGCAGTGACAAGCAGACTGGCAGCCATAAACGGTTTCAGTTGCATTTCAACAGCAAAAAAGAATGAAAGAGGGGAAAAAGCGAGTCACAAATATAAACTAATCTACGTTAAGCGCCGTACCGCCCTTACCTTGCCATATAATATACTTTGTAGCTGCAAAAAAGGACGACGAAAAAGCGCAATGCAAACTTTCTATTTAAGTGAATCTTGGTTGGAGCCTCAACGCAAACACACACACACCCCCTACCCCGCCACACATATGTAAATGATGACTGCTTTCTCACCTCCCCCCACCACCGCCGCCTCCGCTCTACTGTGAAGGGCTCCTACTCAAGGGCGCACTGCGCAAGCCAATTTAAATTTTAAAATAAGCACATTAACTGCATGCACAAGCGCCAAAACAAACGCAGTAGCACCCCGCACTAGTCCCCCCCTCCTGCCGCTGCGGCTCCACCCCCGTCCCCCATCCCCTTCTCCGTTCCGACACACACGCGCGCATATTTAATTTGCTGCAGATTTACGCCTTCGCCTCTGAGCTGCCTTTCACTCTCACCGTCTCGCTCTGCCTCTCTCTAGGGGTACTGCTACTTTGAGTACTGGCTAAACGGGGAAGGAGCTCAGGTGCATCCAATGAGTGGTGGCTTTTGCCCGTTTTGGAAAGATGCTGAACGAAAGTGAAAGAATTGAACACTGTAGAGAGCAATCCTCTGCTTTAAGGAGTGTTTTCTGTGCCAAAATGCTGGAGATCCCTGATTAATATCTATCAGATTCCATATCTAGAATATCTATGACTATTCTAGGCCCCTTGGAATTCTAGCCACTTGGAAATGTTGTAAAAGTGGCTTTTGGCGAACCCAGCCTAGGAAGCAGTACTCCAGCTTCTTCCTCGTTTAGCCAGTACTTAAGATGCTGCCTGGTGCCTGCTGCTTTCGTTTTTCTTTTCTGCAGGTCCTCTCTATGATACGCCTGCTGCTGCTTGTTAATTCCTGCTCAATGTAGGCAATGCGTCACATATCACAGCCACAGCCCCGCCTCTGTCGGCAGCAGCGCCGGAGAGTATGCTAATTGGTTCTTGCATTTCTACGCTTTTCTGTTGCCTACTTTGCGGCAGCCGCAATTAATTTCCGCCACGCACACACACAGGGTGCCTCCAGCCAAAGGAAAAAAAAACCACACTCATTTTTTTTTGGTATTTCCATAATTTGATTCAGTTTTTTTTGTTTTGTTTCGGTCATTTCTTTTAATTATTTATCCATATTGGCTTATAGAAAAAGGTGAAACTAATTGTTAAATTGGTTGTACATAAAAAATTTATAAACTAACTATTTTTCGGGGGCATTTAATTAATTGCTAATCATTTTCGTTAATTTAATTGATATTTATATGTAGATGTTTGCTGTTTTTACTTCGATTAACTGCCATTAAACATTATAAATTCGATTAAATCGTTTTTACTTTTTTTTTACCACTCTTCTGCATACGAAATTGAAAAGAGATCCTCCTTTCATATAAAGTCTAAGCGGTAGAAAATTATTTAAATCCTTATGGTAGAGTCATGGGCTTTGATATGCTGTCCAAAGGGTTTCTTTTTGTTTGTGGGAAATAAAACAGGAAAACAATTTATGTACAATTAAATTTCATTCAATTGATTTCCTAACTTAAAAATTCTAGTTATAATTTTTATTTTGTAACATTTTTAGCTTAATATTTTTTGGTTTTTATTTTGGAAGAGCTACGGCAAAATGTGTGTGTCTTATCCGTATGTACAGGCTTTTGATGGAGAAAAAACTTTCGTTTCTGATGGCTAAAAGGTTGTATCTATTTGTTTGTACTGATATTGATAGTATTAGAAACCAGGTGTGCTATATTACATAAATACGATCTTTGATATGTAAAATTCAACTGAAAAAAAGAAAATCAATCAAAAATCAAAAAAACCATAGCCATATTTAAGCTATTGAAACTCGATTTTCCATCTGATTTTTTGAAGAAAAGTATAAGTATCGCCTACTCGTATGTATGTGTGTGTGTTTTAAGACCTGTTTAAGCTTTTTTTGTGTTTTTTTGCTTGTCACTCGCTTTGGATGATTGTGCTACTGCATTTACATAGTTGTTTTTTTTTTTGTTTTGTTTACTGGGGTTCTATACGCTTTATATATATGTTTTAGGGATTTCCGAAAATCACAACGACTTGAACTTGATCTAAAGCAATTATTGCATATCGTATTTGATGGCAGAGACGGCTGAAAGAAGCTTATTCTAAGCTAGGGGGGGGGTGCTATCCGATTTAGAGGGGGCGGGGTAGGTAGGCTTTCGATTCTAAGCTATATGGTATGGTATGTATATGTATATGTATAGACTACGTTTTATAGGATACATTGCATTGTGCTCATTTAAGAAAATTTAACATTTTTCGCTTCATGACGCTAGAGGGTTTATGGCTATGGGCTATACATTTCGATGGCTGTGCAGGAGTAGGTCCTGGCGGTCCTCACCTCCCGCTATGTACAGGGTTACAACCTAGCAAGTGCTTTTCGGGGAATGCAAGGGTTGCTGCCCGCCTAAAAATGGTTCACTCGATATACCTAATGGGTGTTTTTAGTTTTTCTTTTCGTTTTTACACAAGCCTTAACCGCTAGATTTCCGTTTATACAGTTTATTATTGTTATTGTTTCGGCAATAAGTAAAATATGTTTTAGTTTAATATTCATATAATATATATTTAAACAGTCTTGTTCGAGCCTCTAAGTGTGTGTGTGTCAAGGCTTTGGGTTAAATGCATTTAAGTTTGCTGGAAATAAAAATTATATTAAAAATAGAAAGTCTTTCTGTAATGTTAAGTTTCTGTTCAAAGTGGCAGTGTTCTGTTAAGTATAAGAATTGGCTGGGGAAAATAAAAGAGAAGTTGTGCTGCGACACCACAAAAGTATGCCACATTCTTTGATATTTCATAGGTTCCGCCCAAAAGAAAAATGTTAGGACATTCTGTAGTGGTAAGTTCCTGTTAAAAGTGACAGTGTTCTGTTAAGTATAAGAATTGGCTGTGGAAAATAAAAGAGTGTCTGCAGCGCTCCCCAAAAGTATGCCACACTAATGGATATATATAATATGCGTCTCCCAAAAGTATGCCCCGAAACTGCTGTATCCGCTCAAAAGTATGCTATTAAATTATAGTCTTTACAGCGCCAGAGCTTTAGTACCAAACATGCCATCACATTGGCCAGCAAGGGGAGCCACTGAGCAATAAAAGAGGAATATTTTATAATCCCATGAAATTTTTGTCTGTAAAAACTCTAAAATTAAACCCATTTCAATTAAATTTTGCACTGAAATTATTAGTAAAGAAAAGTACCATTTTCTGCGCCTAAATTATGAGATCTATCTATACCTGCTTCTTCCTAAAAGTTTCCAATATTTAAAGAAGCTTTTATTTAAAAAATTAAAAAAGCCAATTTGTTTTTTTGTATTGTGTTTTTGTTTTTCTGATATTTTGGTATATTTTCTGTTGAACTTCGCTTCAACGATTTTCTTTGTTTGTTTTTTTATGCATTTTTGTCCATTGTTTTTTTCCACCATCTTCTTCTTCTCGCTTAAAAACTAAAATAACAAACAAAATTAAAAAATAACTTAAAAATACTGTATGAGTTAAGGGATATTTGATAGTCATTATAAATTAATTTTTAATTGTAGTTTTTAGTTTTGTTCTGTTGTTGTTTTTGTTTTTTTAAATATATATATTGTAGAATTTGGCAATCACATTGGAAAAACACTTAGGATCTATAAGTTCTTTGCTTTCGAGACGATAAGTTTTGCTTTTGAAACAGAGCGAAAACTTGTTTTATGGCCGTACAATCCGTCCATTCCGTATAATAATAAACCTATCAAGAAACTTTGGGCTCTCTTCTTTTGTTTAATTTATTATCTATTGCTTTGACGATGTACACGCAGGGCAGATCAGGGGGTGGGGGGATATAGGAAGCCTATGACTAACTGTACAGGGGAATACCCTACGTATTCCTGTATTTACACTGAAAGGATCTACGCCGGCGACAGACTGGCTGCAGCGGGATTATTATTTTCCAGCTGGGATGTGACCGTGGAGCAGGCGCTGCTGTTGTTGTTGGGGCTCGTGGCCTCGGCACTGCTGCTGCTGGAGGCCGTCGCTGTGGCCGCCACAACCGTCATGGGCGTGGCCTTGCCCCTGCCCCTGTTCCAGCCAAAGCTCAAGGCGGAGCTCAGTTTGCTGGGCTGCTTGGGCTGCTGGAGCTGCTGCAGCTGCGGCTCGGCCAGATCGTAGTCCTGCCTGCCGATGGAGCTGGCGGGCGTGTGGTGACTGTACCCCGAATCGGAGCCAAAACTCGAGTCGCCATACGGATGCCGATAGTCCCCGGTGGAGGTGGCATAGGGCACGGCCCTGGCCTGCTGATTGGCCGCACTCTCGTAGTAATAGTTGGCATTGTACATCGGCTCGGCATAGCCATAGGCGGGCTCCTGGTGCAACGGCGCCGCATGGATGCGATGGTGCTGGTGCTGATGCGCCGCCAAGCGGCGATCCACTATCCGGGGCTGGGTGCGCGCCCGCATTGTGGCCGCCATCAGGCCACTGGCACTGTTCGAGGGATACTGCTGGTTGGCCGCCGGATACCGTATGCGTTCCCTGTAGATGGTCGACAGCGGCGGCACGGGGGCCTTGCTCAGCTGCGCATTGATGCGGTTCCGGCGCTCCACCTCGTGCTCCAGCGTGTTGTAGAACTGGGGAGCCGTCGAGCGGGCCATGTAGCCCAGGGACATCAGGTTGCTGCGGTTGTCGTACAGGGGTGCCAGGTCGGCGATTTCGGCCGTCGAACTGCTGTTATTCAGATCCTGATCCTGGGCTGCCGGATTGCTGCGCGGCTGTCGGGTGCGGGGAGTGCGTCGCACCAGCAGCAGCTCGTTGTTGTTGTTGTTGTTGTTGCCCGAGCCGGAGCCCGAAGAGGCTGTGGCCGTGGAGGCATCCTGGCCCGTCGACGATCCACTGCTCAGGACACTGTGACGCTCTTGGGGCGCCTGCTGCAGCAGTCCCTGTGTCCCACTGCCCCCAGCACGTTCATGATAGGGCGTGGCCCCAGGAGCCGCTGTGTTGTTGGCCGCCGCCACGGGCCCTGCCCCTGCCCCTGCTGCTGGCGACTCCTTCTGGAAACTGCATTCGCCTGGCAGCGACAACTCGTCCTCGGCGAAATCATCATCGGAATGTAGCGGTGGCTCTGATTCGCCATCGGAATCGACGCGTCCCGGCCCCAGCTCCTCGTACACATTGTCATTGGAGCGATACGGATCGGGTCCGGGCGAGGAGCTCACGAGGAAGGGGGGGGACCGTGTCATGGGATAGCCGCTGGGATAGTGAATGCTTTTGCCTTGAAGCAGCTGTAAAAAGAAAAAGAAAGGGGGAGAAAGGCGGTTATTAAGGGGTGGCACAAAAGGGGTCGAAAGGAAGGAGGAAAGGTCCTGGCAGGAGGCCGAAAAGCCCTCACCAAAAAACTATTGAAAAGCCTAGACAACATATACACCCTATACACCCTGTAGTCCTTGCAGAAGCTCCCCAAAAGGACCTGTTTATCAGACAATAAAATAAGCACACACTTCCACAAGGATACTCCCTCTCTGGCCCGCAAAAAACAGGCACATAAAATATGAAAAAATGAAATAAAAATACAGACGAAAGACCATAAAGAAAACACGTTTCTAGAGGCAGGAAAAAAAAAATGCCCTCCAGGCGTCAGAGTCGTAAAATATTTAGGCACACAAAAGGACCTGAAATTAAGCCTCACAAAAGAGGGAGAGAGGGGCGATGGGCGCGGGAGGATATGCCCTATATATACAGAGGATATATTTCTATATGAATATGTATGTCCCCTTGATGTCCTTTGTGTCAAGTTCAAGTGTAAATTGAGGCGTACAATGGGCATATAAAGACAGCCCATCAATGGGCATAAGGACCGAAAGGGATATCCAGACGAAAAGGAAATGTGGTCTCATCTTACAATCGAATTGCATGTGACAGGATCAACAACAACAGGACAGGACACTGAACAATGACTGTGCAATGTTTTGACAGCATTTGTCGTAATATTTGTCCAAAGAGGGGCAGGGGATAAGGGCAGGGGATAAGGGCATGGGCATGGGCATGGGCATGGCTATGAGATACTAACCTCTGAATGATGCTGCTGATAATGATGATGATGGGGCAACTGCTGGTGATGCTGATGATGATGATGATGCCGATGCATCACCAGTGGCCGATGATGGCCCAAATGTGCATCGGGATCCTCGTACAGGCCATGATGATGGTGATGATGGTGCGCCGAGCCCAGGGTTCCGCCGCCGCCCAAAGGCATGGCCCCGGTGAGGGGTCCACCGCGGGTGGGTGTCTTGCAGGGCAGGAGATTCTGGACTTTACGTTTGTTTCTGCAAGAGAGAGAGAAGGATATTGATTAATAAGGAGTCCAAGGAGGGAGAGAGACAAGGATATTGATTAATAAACAAGGAAGGAGACAATGATATTGGGAGTCCAAGAAGGAAGAAAGCAGGACATTGAGAGACCAAGGAGGAAGACACGAGGATATTGAGAGTCCAAAGAGGGAGAGACAGGGATATTAAGAGTCCAAAGAGGGAGAAAGTAGGACATTAAAAGTCCAAAGAGAGCGCAAGAGATACATAAATGATGTCCTTCTTGGAGGACTGCCTAATAGAGCCATAAGTTCCTTTGGTCCAAGCCAAAAAAAAAAGAAGATAAATCGATTTGTAATGACCAAAACAAGAGGCGAATGGAAGCCCTGATAAATGTCAGGTAAACACCAGCCACGCTTTTCCTTTTCCCCTCCCTTCCCTGGTGCTGTGCTTTCCCCGGAAAATTGCCCAAAAACATTTGATTAATAAAGAATGCCGCCCTCTTGCCGCCACACACCACAAGAAAATTCAATTTAAATGAGCACAAAGCGTCAAGCATGTCAAAATGATGATGGGCAAAGTCTCCGAGGGGGAAGAGGGGCGGCAGGAGGCGACAGGAGGCAGGAGGAGGCGACAGGAGGAGGAGTGTCAGATGGAGAGGAGAGGCGGCAAGCAGCAGGAGGAGGAGGTGTCTTCGAAGGAAGGAGAGGCGGCAGGAGGAGGATTCTCTGAAGGAAGAAGAGACAGCAAGCGGCAGGACGACTCTCCCCAGAAGCAACCGTCACCCGTAGAAGCCCCAAAAGCAGAGGAGACTCCTTCTCCCAACAACAACACCGCGTGCCATGAATATAATGAACATAATTAAGTGTTGCCCATGGCAAAAAGACAACAAAACAGACAGGCCTTGAAGAGATGCCGCCTTCAAGTAACCAGGAAACATCCTCATGTGGCAGGCATAAGCATAATGAAAAATGTGAAATTAAATTGACGCCATGCCGGTGCTTGGGCTTCCCCCCCAGGACGAGATGAGCTAACATCCTTGTAATGTCTTGTAAGGTAAACATGTTGCGATGTCAAAACGGAAGTCGCTCGTAAAAAAGACTCCTCAAGCAGAGAGAGACTGCGAGACAGAGTGGCTGTTGATTGTGGAAGGACATTAAAAATGCTTGCCTACTTTTAGGGGCACAAGCCGGCGAAAAGATAGACGAATGGGGGTGTACCCTTTGGGAGAGAGAAGCGGGTCAGGCATAAAGGGGGGGACATATAGGAATTTTTGTTTAATAAAACTCTTTGGGGGGTAGTTTTTTGGGGGATTTTTAGGGGTACAGATCCGCCAGATATCTTTGGTTGGAATCTTTTCCTTAATGGCCTTCAACAAACCCTATCAGATATTGTGTTATGCCCTGATTCCCTGAAGGATATAAATGACAGTAAGGCACACACACAAACCCCCACACATGGTGCCAGTGAGGACCTCTCACATTACATGTTGGCCTCCTCATAGCTGAAGGAGAGAGAGGAGAGAGCTGCTTGTTGACTTGAGACTAAGACTGGAAGCAGGAGCAGGCCAAGACGGTAGACAAGGAGGTTGGAAGGAGCTTGTCTGCCTTGTAAAATATTCTTAAAAGTAAATTAAATAATGTGGCATGCCGCACAAGCAGCCGAGTCGAGTCTCTTGACTTCTGTGTGTGTGCCTCATTTCATTTCATTTCACTTACGAGGCGTAAAAACCAAATCAACGTGGGGGTGGGGGGTCATGTGTTTGCTTAACCCTTTGAAGGGGTGTGGGAGAGGGAGAGCGGGGGTCCTGTTTGATTTCTAAGCGTTATGGCCGAATGGTCCTGGCTGGTGGGCATCCCCCCAGAGTGTCGTACAATTTTGGCAAGAAAGTAAACCATTTGTATGCAAAAGGGGGCAGGGCGGGCTGCTTAAGGGATGGAAGTGTGTGTGTGGCAGCAGCTTAAGCTACCTTTGGGGCACACACACACACAAGCAATTTACAATAAAAGAAACGGGCAACATTGTTGTGTTCCACTGAAGGGCTAAAAAAGTTACGGCTTTGCCCAAAAGCAGGCGAATCTTTTATTTATGAACTCCTTGAAGTCCGGGAAACTCTTTTGGGGGTTGCTGCACGTAAAAGAGTAAAAACTACAAAGCACACAGGAATCGAAAACACTGGCAGAAAAATAGGTATTCCCCAGGACCAAAGTGGCAGAAGGAGTGGCAGGAGTGGCAGGAGTGGGGGAGTTCTCGTGTTAAGACTTTGATATGGAAATTGCAGGCAAAATGCAAATGACAGGCGGAGCAGGAAAATTGATTTCTAAAGAGACTGAAAAACATTTTTTTGGATTTGTGTTTTGGGTAAAAAGAATTACAATTTTTTGTGGTTTTTTTTAGGGAAGTATTTAAATATTTTTAGAGAGTTTTGGGGATTTTTTAAAATTAATTCCGAGAATTTTTAAATTAATTCCCAGAATTTTCCAATTAGTTCAGAGAATTTTTCAATTAGTTCAGAGAATTTTCGAATTAAATCAGAGAATTTTTCAATTAATTCTATATATTTTTTTTCAATTAATTTTTTAATTTTTTGATTATTAAATAATAGCACTGATATAATGTTGTCAGAAAAAACAATGTCACAGGCAAAATTACGATAATTAAAAAATAAAATAAAAAAGTGTGTGGAAAAACTCTAAGAAATTTTTTTCTTTATTTCACACTTTTTAAATATTTTTTGTACTCCAAATACTTTATAAAAATCATTTCCTAGGCCCCATAACTCTGTTAGTTTCTTGTCTTTAAAGAAAGACCCACAAAACAGACAAACCGACAAGCCGGCACCGCCACAGCCACTTTGGTGGTCTAACCCTAAGCCCCCCCCTGCCCAAGTTTTGACCATTGCACAACGTTGCAGTTGACCAGCAGCCAGCCAGCAGGCAAACAAAACATTGACCGCAAATGAAAGACTTCGACGACTTGGAAAAGGCATCGAATTACCAGTAAGAGAGGGGGCAAAGGAGGGAAGTAGAAGACAGAACAAGAAAACAGCTGTTGACAGCCAATGAGTGAGTCACTTGGCAACGCAGGAATGGGGCAGCATTTGATTAAAAATATGGCCAGGAGAGAGAACAAACGAAAGTGGAATTGTCAGGGCAACAAAAGAGGGGGCAAAGGGGGGCGGAAAGCCCTCTTTTAATAAGCGGAAATTGTGATTTTTATGGCATACTTCAGGGCGGTAAGCATATGGCAGTCGAAAGACAGAGAGGGAGAGGAGAGAGAGCTGCCATTCAGGTGAAAGTGATTTTATTTATTCAACACAGAATACAGCTCCTTATTTTTCTTGCCTCATTTAATATAAATGAAACATTTAGCACACAAAGTGGCGCCTCCTCCACCGACTTGACTTTTTGGTATTTATTTAAGCATATTGAATATTATTAACTGGCGACAATGTTAACAATTTTAATGACAAGCTCTGCAGATTTTTTTTTTAACCACATGTTGCACATGGCAACATTTTTCGTGTAATTAATAAAGTTTCAATGTGTGCGTGTGTGTCGTTGGGGGTTTATTAAAATAATTAAGGTAATTACGAGAGTCCCAGAGATTGTAGACACAGAGGGAGAGGGGGATGCGGTGTGCGGTGCATCATAATAAATGCAATTTATGGTTTGAATTTTATATGATAATCGTTTTTTGGTTGGCAAAAGCCATCATGGGGGGTTGCATTTTAATTAAATATTTATCAAGAATTTAAAAGCCATAAATAAAGAGTATTTCTAGCTGTTTGAACACCTGGTTTGCGAGTATCCTAGGATGGCGACCCTCGTTTTCCTCGACTTTTTGCGCCCAACTTTTATTTGATTTGTATGAGGCCTTGAACAAAAATATAAATAAAATTAGTTGCTATTTTATTTAGGCTCCTTTCTTATTTTTCCTTGTTCTTGGGGGGAGGGTGTGAGGGGCCAGGACACGCAACACATAAAAGCACAAATAATGTGCCACATCATAAATGCCACACACATAGAGGAAAAGAGGGGGAGAGCGAGAGAGTGGGGGATTGTGGGATTGTGGGAGGGTCCAGACACTTAAAGCTTTTGCTTTCTGCCCCAACACACACACAGATACACACACACATATATGCATAGATAACTGTGTAATAAAGATGCCCGTTTGTGTGGGTTCTTGCTGTTTGCCTTTTGTTTGCCTCAAAAATGATGAAGCACAAGAACAACATTCCCCCCCCCATTGCCTCTCTCCCTCTCTTCCTCTCTCTATCTCCCTCTTTGGTGCGTGCCTGTGCGGTCAGCAGAACTTTAATGAATATGTATGAAAATCGCTTGTAGCACAACTGATGCTCAGGACCCCCCACCCTCCCCCTCTCGGGTTTTCTGCTGATGGACAAGAGTCCCATGAATATTTTTGCGCCCAAGAGTTTTTCGGTTCTGTTGTTGTTTGCCAAAGGAAAAATCGATTTTCAGGAGACAGAGGGAAACTAGAGAGGAAACAGAGGGATACTCCGAGGGAAACATGTTACTGCAACACTTGTTGATGTTAATGATGGCTAGAAAAGAAGAAGAAGAAGCTCTTTCTGGGGTTTGCTGTGGGGAATAGGACCCCTTAGACCAGGCACAGAAAAACCATTAAAAGGTTTGTTTGGTTTGTAATAATAGAGGGTATTACTGGTATTTTGTACTGGTTTTTCTTTTTTAAAGATTTATATTATATGATTTATATGATTATAGTCGTTCTATCGATTTTGTGTGGTCCAGAGAAGGCCAAGAAGATCTATTGATATTGACTTTGGAAGCGGAAGAAGACGGTTGTTATAAGATATGGAAAAACATGACTGGAATCTACTTAAAACAGGGAATAATAATTTTTATACTAGATTGCGCAATACGAAGCTACGGATTTTCTGGAGCTAATTTTTACTCACTTGTAGGGAAATCCCCCTTAAGAGCCCCAATAAAATTTCCGAAAGAAAGGGAACTTCCTTTTTTGGCTGTTTGAACACCTGGCTTTCGTTGTTAATGAATGAAAAAATACGGGAATATAGCTCAAAATCTTCTATATATTGTTATGTGTATACAGTACGTACTTTCTGGTTTTAGAATATGAAAACAGAGAGTATTTTTACTATACAGACAGACCTTGTTTTCTACAGGATTTATGTGTTGTTTTAAACAACTTCGAGCCAAGACTCACTATTTCCCATATATCCGACATTGCAACTACAGTCACATGTATGGAATATATCTAAAAATATTCTATATATAATACATTTTTGGCATATACCAATCCAATATTATTTCCCTTTAAAAGCCCTGCAGTTTAAAGAGTTATCAAACCATTTTTGGGGATCTATAAGCTCTAATAATTCAAGATATTATAGGAACTATAAATTATTTAGAAGAAACTCAAATAATTGAAGCTACAAAAAATCTATATTTTTTTCCAATTAATTTTTTCCCTCTTCTTCTAAAAACGTCCCTTATTCAAGCCTTAACCCAGCAAAGGCCTGCATTTCAAAGAGTTACCAAATCAATTTGGGCCTCTCTAAACTCAAATAATTGAAGCCCCACAATCTCCTATGTTTTTTTCCACTTAAGTTTTTCGCTCTTCTCCTTCAAAAAGCGTCCCTTATTCAAGCCTTAACCCATTAAAGCCTCTGTCCGTGTTGAGCCTAAGCTTTGGCCTTGGTCTTGTCTCCCCCGTTGCCTTGCCTCTTGCCTTTGCCTACAAATAACTGTTATCTAGCCCCCTCTCTCCCTCCCTCCTTGTGCTGTGCGTGCAAAAATCTTTTGCAGATTTTCCTCCACACTGCATTACATGCAAACAATGTCCAGAGTCTCCCTCTCTCCCTCTCCCTCTTTCTCTTTCTCCCTTTTTTTTTGCTCTCTCCTTTTTGTGGTTTATTTCTGCAGCAGATTTTCATTTCGTTGGCAATCTCCTGGTGTGTGTGTGTGTGTGGTTTTTTATTCCCGGAGACCGTAAAAGTAAATTGTTTTATGTTCTTTTTTTTTTGCCAACCAAAAGTTGATTTGTTTTTGTGAGCCATTTCTCACGTGCGTTTTTTTTTTTTGTTGCTTCTTGTAGCTGCTGCAACATTTATTTAAAATTTCAATTTAATTTAGTTTCGGGTTTTAAGTGCACCCACACACAGACACCCACAGACACATATACATTCCCATATTGAGGTCACTGTGTGGCTCCGCTCAAAAGTAGACTACATTAATTCTCGTTTGGCTCTCCCTCTATCCCTCTCTCACTCTCTTTGCCTCTCTCTTTCTATCGCTGGGGATAACTTTTACAAATGGATTTTCATTTCTTTAGTACATTTTTCACTGATTTTTTTTCCGCAAGTTTTACATACATTTTTGATCAAAATTGCATAAAGTTTATGCACATTTTTTACATGGCGCGAACATTTATGTGGCTCAACACATTTATCCTCTCTCTCCCCTCTGGGGCGGGGGTTATAAGTGCATAATGCTTTGAGCTGGAGCTCTCTCAGATTTAATTACAATTTTATTTCCCTTTTTGGTTGGTCCAAAACGTTTGTAAAGGCATTAATGGTTGTTTTAATCAATTGATGAAAAGCTTATGGCTAGCTTATTTTCTTGTGGTATGAGTGACAGCTTTTATGAGGGTTTAAAATTGTTTGGAGTACAAATTTCATAGATTATTTGAGGGCAACCTTTGAGACTTTGGTTCGAATGATGAAAATCCTTGCGGATTTAAATGGAAACTGTGGTTTAAGTGGTTTTTAATGCTTCAAATGAGGCAAAAGGTTGTGGCTAAAGGTTGTCTTTCCATGGAAAATTGTTTACTTTTATTGCTCCAATGACTAAAAATTTCCTTTCCATTGAAAATATGAACAAACTGGTGACTATAGTTTTCTTTTATCGCTCCACTGATGTAAACAATTGTTTAAATTGCTATAAACGTTTACTTCAAGCTTTGTTTAATGCAGCACTTGAGGAGGAAGCCCTCCCCATCTTAAGATTTGCCGCTGCTCCCCCTTGAAACCCCTCCAGTCTACCGTTTTTGTATCTCTAGTCGGTTATCTGGCAATGCAAAAGTTTTTCTTCTTTTTTTTGCTGCTGCACATAAATCATAAAAGCAAAAGAGCAACATGCAACATGTTGCCTGGCAATGGTTAACGCCTCCCCAGCAGAGGAGCGGGCTTCCGCCACACAAGGCGTTGGGGGCCCCCCAAGACCATAATTGAGTCATTGCTGGGCACTAGATATTGTATCTTTTACTTACTTCCAAACGAATAGCGACGAGATGAGAACAATCAAGACCAACAGCAGCGAGAAGACCGCAATCATGGCCGAAGTGGCCAACGATTGACTGCTGTACAGGCTGGCATCCAAGATCTGAAAGAGGGAGAGACAGAGAGAGAGAGAGACATCTGGGGTTAATAAAAAGTAAAAGTTTGGAGGCAAGAGGTTGGAGTAAATCAATGTTCAAACTCAAACACAAAGCCATTTTGCATAACAACAAAAACAGAAAACAGAAAACCAGAAACGAAAGAAAGCCGCAAGTAGGAAAAGCACTGCCGCTGCTAACTGGGGAAATGGAAAATATATACATATATATGTATATGTATTTTGTTGGGGGGTAAATATGCCTAACGAAATGCAAACAAAAGCGCAGCGCACGCGACTTGGGCTGTTAACCTTTTTCTGTTACTTTGGCTCTTTCTTCGAGGCGGCCAAAAGCAAACTGTAGGCGTTTACCTTTTTGGCCTGGGCCTCACAGCAAAATTAAGGTCAAGCCAGACAGCAATTTGCCTTTTGAATTTATGCCTGAACATGCAAAAAAAAAAACCCCCCACACAAAACTCAAGGATGGGCAGGAAATCCAGTTGATAAAAACGAAAATTAGTGGCGATTTTTAGGGACATAGCCATCAAGATTAGTTCTCTTGGAAAACCTTTCAGAAAAATACAGAAAACTGCAAGGAATTTGCTCTTTAGATGGTTATAGATTTTGTTTTTGGTAAAATTTTGATGAAATTGTCCTCCAAATAAATATTTTTCTATGGTAAATCACTGGTAGATCTTCAAAATTCACTGTGATACAAAATATTCAGTACATAAAAAGGCAAATAAGGTAAGAATTTTAGGGCTAAAGCCATCAAGACTATTTCTCTTGGTTGAGAAAACACCGAAAACTCCCAGGAAAATGGTCTTAAAATGGTTATGTATTTGGTTTTAATGAAATTTGTATGAAATTTTTATGAAATTGTCTTCTAAATAAATATTTTTTAATCATAAATCACTGGAAAATTGTTGCGATTTTTGTGGTCACAGCCTTAAGGTGTATTTCCCTTGCGAAAACCTTCTTTTGTGGTTGAGAATACACCCCAACTACATGGAAAAAGCTTTTAAAATGTTTATATATTTGGTTTTTATTATGAAACTGTCTTCCAAATAAATATTTTTTAATCGTAAATCACTGGAAGGTCTTCAAAATTCACTGAAATGCAATTCCGGACCTCCAAAAATCTTTGAAAAGTCCGCTGTTTTTTTATATTTTTTTTTTTTGTAAAACAGTATCTGTCTTTCCCAACTAGTTTTCTCATATTTCAAATCAACAAAAAAATTTTATTTGTTGCTTATCAAAAAAGCTGAGAGGCCGCCTCTCACCTGTCGCCTGTCAAAAGAAAGAGATAAACTGGTCCCCCTCCCCCTCTAAGCCTAGATTTGAAATATTTTTGCATTAAGTAGTTTTATTTATTTAAATTGTTTTTGTTTGTTTGGCGTTTTGACCCCCCAAAAAAAAGGAAAACTCCTACACAAAAAAAAAAAAAAAAAAAAAAAAATTCACCTGTCGTTGGGGCAGAGACAAACGCAGCATAAATCACTCAAAAAACATGGAAAATATCATATATTTGGGGGAAAGAGAAACAGAGAGAGGGAGGGAGAGGGAGAGTGAGTACTCAAATACAGAGAGAGAAAATTGAGGTCAAACTTTGACAGCTGTGCAAATAATTTCGCCGGCGATTGTATGAAAGAGTATCTGAGAGTACGCCAGTATCTGTGTGTGTGTGTTTACTCAACTGGTGCTCTTTGTGCTGCATTTGTGTGTGTGTGTGTGTATTTGGGTTACTCTTTAATTTGTAATGCATTTTCGTGCATTTAGTAATTTATTAAATGCATCTCTCGCTCTCCGGCTTTGATTTATTTGCCAGCCACAAACACACGCCGAGAAATATTCAAACAAATATGGAAAATGTGGGACACACACACACAGAGAAAGGCGGAAGCATTCTGTTTTATAATTAATCAAGCGCTTGCAGCAAATATAAATATTATTAATATTTCAATGAGAGACACAGAGAGAGAGAAAGGGCTCTCCATCACAGATAAGCCATAAAAATATTGACATCCAGCAGCCGTTGCTCCAAATGGCGAAATTTGTTTAAACAGAAAGGGGGGAGTGCCATGGGGGGGGAACGACGCTTATCACAAACCACAAAGAAAAGAAAAAAAAAACCGAAACGAAACGAAGAAAATTGTTTGTGATATTTTGAAATTCATTTTCAAAGACAAATCGAGTCTCAAGGCAAAACCAAAATACAAATAATAATAAATTAAACAATTATAATGCGGCATGTGTTGGGTGCAGTGCAACGCCAAAAGTTGGGGCACCTTAGTGGAACAATGCCCCCCCCAATGCTCGTAATCGAATTGATTAATGAGACCTGACGCCAGTCTTTTCCTTTGGCTTCTCATTCCATCTTTGCTTTGGGGGGTTTTTTTTTATTGAATGTGGAGCAGTCGATCAGCTTTGGGGGGACGCTGGAGGGGCAAAGGTATCGATGGGATGAGGCGGTTAATGAAATGATGCCCCCCGAAATGCTATGAAATCTGTTATAGATGTCGATTACACAATTTTTCTGAGGAAAATCTCAAAAATCGGAAGTTTTATAAAATTTATAAATATTTTGTACTTATCGAAAGTTAAACGATGAAGAAATAATCTAAATAAAGTTTCTAAAAATATTTTTTAAGTATCGATAAATAATCGGCAAATAAATAATTCAAGAAAATCTTATAATTAGTGCAAGAAAAAACCATATTTTTCTAAGAAAATTCGAAACAATTTTAAATTTGTATCGATAAATAATCGGCAAATAAATAAGCCAAGAATGTGAGAGAAAAAATTTAACATTTTTTGTACAGTTATTGAAAATGAGTCAATCGATAATTAATCGTAAATTATTATTTATTTTTCTTTGCAGTTATGCCTAACATTTTTTGGCTTTTGGTAAGTTTTTCTTTGATTAAAATCGATTTTTTTGTATACATTCGATTTATTTATCGATATCATTTAATTTTTTCTGCTATTTCATCATCTAAAAAGTCCCAGCCACTAACAAATATGCACAATGACAAAAGCTTAGAGACCCCGCTCTCCCTCCTCCTCCTCTCCCTATCACACCATCTCCTCCACACCCCGAATAGCGGACCCCATTGTATGCCCAAGAAATCACACACTTGCATCATTGAAAAAGAAAAACGAATTGAATTTTCTTTTGTCTAAAGATTTCACACGAAAACTATTTTTCCCAACTCAACTTTGAACTGCATTGTGCGTGAGGGTGTGAGGGCGTGTGCGTTGATAATCGATAAATCTAAAATACTTGTGCACCGAAAGGCAGCGTTTACCTATTTTGGGGCCAAGCAAATAGAGAGGGAGAGGGAGAGGGGACGGGGAGCTGTAGACATTGCGACAGTTGTGTCGATTGTGTGGAGTGCCAGAAGCTGCCACCGAAACGCTTCCAGCTGCCTCCAGAGAGAGCGAGCCATGCCCCTTACGGATTAACCCAAAAGATAAAACACGGAAAGTAAGAAAGAAACAGAAAAAAGTTGTAAGCAAACAGAGTCGCATTATCGATAACAGCGAGTACAGTTGCCCCCCCCCCCCCCACTCCCACTCCTCCCCCCTCTAGAGATAAGCAGTGCAACAGTAGGCCTGCCACTGGTATGATTGAAGTGCTTCCATCTGGCCCTCTAGGCATTCCATAAATTAAATTAAATAAAGAGAGAGAAAAAAAAAACACAAAGCCTAGGCAAAGGAGTAGGCCAAAAGGTAAACAAACGGCCAGATAGCGATAACAGTTCTTGAACGATTTATGGAAGGCGAAAAGCAAATAAAGGAAACGCAAACACAGGCAAGAGTCGAAAGGGCTCGAAGGGCTGCCAACTTGGCCGATGAAATAATTAAGGCCCTGCACTCGAGAAGAAAACCCCGTAACCAGTGCGGGTAAAAGGCAGATTAAGGCAGCCAGTGTTGCATAATGCGGCGGCAACAAAGTGCAGTACAGTCATCAAAATCAGTCTCCCACCCTGCCGGAAAAACTCTAAAAGTTAACAACTTTTTCTTTTCTTTTTTTTTGCTTTGGCAAAAGTCAAACGGCGAAAGAGAGCGGCAAAACAAAACTTTTAGCCCACAAAATAGACAAAAGGCTGATGATGTTGCCTTGCAACAGGCACGTGCCACTTGCAGGAGGCAACTTTGGCACGGCTGCTGCTTTGATAACATGGCAAAAGTTTTTCCCAACATGCGATGCGATGCGATGCACCCCTTTTTCATTTTTCAACACTATTCCTGTGTAGTTTCTTCGATTTTCGTGTTGCACGTGCATATCGGAGATCTACCCCCCGCCCACCCACCCCTGCCACTTGACTGTGCAATTGTTTGGAAACAGCTTCGCTTAGTCCCAAAACCCATCAACGGGAAGAGAAACTTCTTCGAGGAAAGGCCTTTAAGGAAAGACGTTTAAGGCCTCAAAAAAAAAATAGGGAAATAAGAAGAAACAATTATTTATCTACAGCTTAAAGCCTTGCGTTTGGTGCCCAAAAATATTTGGAAATATACATTTTATTTTAGTCCTTTGCCACATTTTTCATTTCCCCCCCCTGCCGCCTGCCGCCTGCTGTCTGCAGCTGTGTCTGGCCATGTCAACTGTAAACAACATCAACACTAAACCCCCAGAAAAAACAATCCAAAAGCCCCCTCGAAGGACCCCAAGCAGACAACAACAACAATTTTGTGGCCAGAGCTAGAGATAGAAATAGTTGAGAGAGAAGGAGCTAAGGAATTTCGCATTCTCACGACATTTGATATCAATGTCATGCTATTTGCCACACGAACCCCCCTACGTCCCCATTCCCCCCTAAAACCCATCATCTTCTTCGTCGTCGTCTTTCGTTTTCCTTGAAATATTTCTTGGGGAAAGAAAAAAAAAGGATTATTTGCTGCCACGCCCATTGGAGCAAATCAGAAGCTGCTTGTCAAGGATTTTGCCAGACACATGTGAAATTTAATTTCACTTTAGAGGCTTCCTTCGTGGGTTTTGGCCTCCTTTAAAGGGAAACGGGTTTTGCCTTCCTTCAAGGGGTTTTCCCTCTTACTTTTACCCCCCTCAAATTGCCCCCTGCTAATCCCTTAAATTGAATTCGATTTTTTCTCTGATTTTAAGCTTATTTAAGCATCGATTTATTTAGTAATGGTGTTTTTTCTGCCTGATTTAAATGCAAATTTTTTGATCTAATATAATCCCTTAACCGTGAGAGACATAAACTGCATGTTAACATTTGATTTGTCAGCATAAATCAACGGACACGACGGACAGACAGCCTCAAGTGTTGCCCACACACAGAAATAAATACTCCAGATCTCATGGAGATACCAGGGGAGACCACACACACAGCCTCGGGGGCATAAATAGATACATTTTTTTTTGTGTTATTTATTTAAATTTTTTTCATGTTGAAAATTAAGTGGAAAACACTCGAGTGGAGCAGCACGTGAAATTTTATCAATAATGGAATTTGATCTTTGTTTTACACACAACATACCCCTGCCCCAGTGCCCCTCCTGCGTGTGGCAGCGCCTAAACAAACACTTGCCCCACAGATTAGACGAGAGTTTCTTTTCCATCTATCTATCTATCTTTTTGTGGAGGAAAACAGAAATTACATGTAACCGCGCTGACAGGACAGCCTTTTAAAGTCGAGGGTGGATTTCGGGCACTGGCCATATGTTGCCACAGAACGAGGCAAGGAGTCTGTCCAAAGGGGGCAGGACTTTTCCCAACATTTGTTGTCCTTTTGCTGCCTGTCGCTTAACTTTTTCATTGTTATTGTAATTTCTGTGGCTCTCACTCTCTCGCTCTCTCGGTCATCATCATCATCTCTGGAGCCCCCCCTCCAGAGGGGGTAGGGGTCAGTCGTCAAGAAATGGCTGTGCCGTGCAACAGCTGCTGTGTTGCTCGGCCAACGCTAAAGAAAATTTGTTTCACTTTTGCTTTAAAGTGATTTTCTTGCGGTCCAAAAAAGGGGGCGTCTGTGTGTGTGGGCGTGTTGCCATGTTGGCAATTTCTCATCATCCCTTTTGGCCCTTTTTTCCTTTCTTTTTTTTGGCAAAGACTTATATTTAAATGTCCTTAAAGAAGGAGCTTTAAGTGCAGAAAGATTGAAGGCAGATGTGGAAATGATAGGGGAAAAAAGACTTAAATTGAGGGAAAAATGGAAATCAAAGAGAAAAAAGGTTACTTTTTGATTGAAATTTAATGGACATTTGAATTTAAAAATTAGAAATAATTATCAAAAAATAATTAAGAATAAATAAAATACAATTAGACAAAATAAAATAAAATTTGAGAAAAAAAAATTAAGAAAAAATAAAATATAGAAACCAGAAAAAAAATTAAATTATGAAAAAATAGAATAGAAAAAGGAATAAAATGAATGGAATGAATAAAAATAAAATAAAATAAAATAAATAGATTATATAAGGAACAAATAAAATAAAATTAAAAATAAATGAATTAAAAATTAAGAAAAATAAAATACAATTAGGAAAATATAAAATAAAATTTGGAAAATTGAAAGGAAAATAAAATAAAAAGGGTACATTTTGATTAAAGTTTAAATGAAATTTGAATTTAAAATAAAATAAAATTACGGAAGAATAAAATAAAATTAAGAAAAAATAAAATTAAATTAAGAAAAAATAAAATGCGCCTAAAAATTAGCAAAAAAAAAACAAATCAAAGCCCCCCTAAAATCGAATTTCCAATAAAAATAAATTCATGGACCTTCCACAAAATAAAAACCGAAGAAAAATCCAGACAGATTTTGTTGACTTGCCAATAAATCAATTCAATAAATTCATGCGGCAGGCGTTTCGAGTGTTTTCGCCACTCAACTGTTAACATTTATGGGTGTTGCCACCAGCTACAAAAATATTCAGCCCACCACTTGAGGGTCTACCATTGTTGTTGCATGCAATATGCATGCAACACATAATTCAATAAGGAAACATAATTTTTTGACACCTACAGCTAGGAAAATCCCAACAGCTGTGCCGAAAATGGTGGGGGAGCGCCTCATTACGAGTTACAGATGGGTTAAGGGTTGCCGCAGCCCAAACACCCCTCTCGGGGCGCGCCCTGGAAATTATAATCAGCCTTAACTGGCTGTGCACTCACCGGCATTGCCTGGCAGACATCGCTGTCCCATTGCTGCTGGGCCAACTGCTCGTCGTTGCAGTCCTGCGGCACCACCGTGTACTCGGCCAGCGCTGGCGGCCTCGGCGGCGGCGGTATAAGGAACTGTGGCGGCGGTGCCAGCGGCATGGGCAACATGCCCCCCGCACAGTCGTCGCATTCGAACATAAAGATGTCCGCATCGGAGGAGGGCATATCCATGATATCCAACATTTTCCACATTTGGTGACGTATCGGTGCGGCCCACAAAAATTTTTGTTTTGCGTTTCGGGGAATCCTTGGTAGGGAGTCCTGTTTGGCTTTTCGGCTGTGTTCTTTTTTGGTTGGGGTCAAATGCTCTGCCCAAAGGCTGCTGCTGTCATCGCTGGACAGCCGTCGGCGGCGGCCTCTCAAGGAGCTGCAAAGAGAAGCAAAAAGGATATGCGGATTAGGACACAAAGCTAGAATGGAAGGACCTTCCTGTCGTGCCAATTATCTCACACATGGATGTCCTTGCACGTAACAATTTCTCCTCTCTTTCGTATCTTCTATAATTAGCCTGATCCTGGCCATTCCAGTCCACACACGGAATGGTGCCCCAAGCAGCACGCGCTGCCACCCCTAACACCTACCCCTAGGACAATACCTAGACACCCTTCCCGACCCCTCTCTTCCGCCAATGTTAATTTTTATTGATTTTGTTTAATGCGTTGCCAGTTTTTTGCCATTTTATTTTTATTTACTTTGTGCGTCGTGCTTTTGTTTTTTTTTTGTATATCCTATTTCTATTTTTGGTCCTTCCCCTGGCTATTTTCTGTCGACTCATGGGCAATTGTTTTAGCCCCTCTCTCTCTCGCTCTCTCACTCTCTTTATCCTTTTATGCGTGTTTTTTCTTCACACATTCGGCCGCAGGAAAATCATAATTGGAAAGAAGAGAAATTTGACCTTTGCGGCCGTTGTTTTTTTGGGTTGAAGATTGAGTTAGGATCCGATGATTGATGGATGGTTCTATGCTATGGCTTTGGTTCTGTTTTTTTTTTCGTTGGGGTTTTCCCTGCCATCGTCTGTGGGTTTTTTCTTCTCTCTCAAGTCCAAGGTTGATGCCGCCTTGCCACAACATATGTTGCCACAGTTGGTTTTCATTTAATTAGCTTGACAGTTCAGAGATTCAGAGAGAGGAGAGAGAGAAGACGATTGCTCTCTGATAAGATCTCTCTCACAACAACAACAAAAAAATGCTTGTATCTGTGGCTATGTATCTGCCTGTGTGTGTGTGTGTCTTGTCTTGCAATCAAATGTAAGCCGCTGTTGACATTGGAGATTAAAAGATATTAAAAACGAAGACGACAAACCAGGAGGAAAAGGCAAAAGAAAGAGAGGAGGAGGAGGAGCAGACTGGCAGCTTGGATACAATGACAGTGGCAGGGGGAGGGGGCGGGGGGATCCACACAAAACATGTCAAAGATGAAATGCTGTAAAAAGGAAAATTGAATTGAATTGAATTGAACTTCCAGCAGTCGGATTCAGCGGCAAACTAATAAATAACAAAGCAAATCGAAAAAAAAAAAAAAAAGGAAAAACTTCTACTAAAAATCTTAAAGCTCTGTTTCCCTTTCAGCAACTAAGATACACTCTGTGTATCTTGAAAATCGATTGAATTGTCTGACCCATTGGGTGATTAACTTTGACTCAGACAAAAGCAAAAGCAAAAGCAAAAGAAAAGCGTCTCCAGTATAATGAAATAAATCGTGTTGGAAGACCGAGACGTAGACCATCTCTCAGGCTAAAAGAGGAAACGACGAAGTCAGAGTCAACGAAATCGATTTGTTTTGAGATTAAGTCGGAGACTGAGACTGAGACTGAAAAACCTCTGGCTCTGCCTCTACCTCCTGTCCTGTCCTGTCCTGTCCTGTCTATCCTTCAATTCTAAAAGGCACAGGCAGGCCAGAAGGCAGTTAAAACGGAAATGTTATGGACAGCCAGCCGGGTCCCTGGCTCTCCCTCTCTCTGATAATGGAAATCAAAGCCTCTCTGGGCAATTAGCGAGTGAAGTCGTTTCTTTCCTCCTTCAGAAAGCACTTAGATAATTGTCTTAAAGCTGGTACAGCTGCCCTCCGAGATACTCTCAACTTCAACCCATTCCTTCAAGCACTTGAAGGCCAATTAAAGGCTACTCTTTCCTTTCACTTTCACTGCTTCGTTTCGCTTGTGATTTATAGGAACCCCCGAACAAAATTCTACCCAGTACTTGACAAAAAGACAATTGCTGGATCTCAAGTACAAGAAGGCATTGGACAGCTGTTCCAGCCGAAATTTATATGCATTTCTATAATAGAATTATTTGATTGGTAAAAAAGAAACGAAAGGTAAAATTAGATAAAGTCAAACCTCATATCTCTCTCGAGGGGGGGAAAAATGGAAAATGACTCAATTGGAATTGGGTTCTTCGGGCGTCGGTCAGGTAAGGGAAACACATTTATTAGCTACAATGATAAATGTTCTTTCAGACCAAAAAGGATCTCCCTCGACTCCGTCGGACCGTCGATGTGTAATTTTAATTCGTTTTGGGTCTCGTTCGAAGGGAAATTGATATGGGTGCGACATCGTCTAGTTTTTGGTCAAAAATTCAAACGCACACACGAAACTCAGGTAGAAAATTTGTTCCATTCTATGTATCTAAGTATCTTTTTGGGTTCTCTATTGAGATATTATAGACCACGGGTGATGCCCGGGGTAAGTGGAACAAATGCCTTGGAAATTACTGCCATGATTGTGTTGCAAAAATCTATGTGTTCTCTAGAGAGAGAGAGAGAGAGAGGATTAGTAGTTGTAAGTAGTTTTGGTTTTGGAAAAGATACATCTTCGAAGCGTTGAAGGTTAAGGGTTCTTTGAGGGAAAGTCTCAAGGATTTTTGTCTCCTTGGTGGATTTCTTGGAGTGTATATTGTATCTTTATCTGTATCTCTAGGGCTTAAGCTTTATTTATAAAATTTGCTCTTAATTTTGATTAATTAATTAAGCCCACTTTCATCTCTCTCCATTTCCCTGCCCAAACTTTAATCTGTATAGTAAATGCCTGGCAGCATGGCCAGATCTGGGGCGCCTCAAAAACCTACGGCAACTTTTGACTTAGTTTACATATCATTTATTATTTTGCCAGGGCCAAGGGGTGGGGGGGGGGGCCGTTCTCTATTGTTATATAAGGTGTGTGTGTGTGCTTCTATGCCACGCCCCTGGAGGCGTTAAGACAGAAAGAGAGCGCAAAAAGAAAACTTTTAAATAAAGCAAAGAATGCGCTGAGCGGGAAGAGAGTGGTGCGGGGGGTACAAGGAAATGAGAAGATGACGGCATGTCACATCAATGTCACTCAGCATTAACGCAGAGAGAGAGCGAGACGGAGGGGGAGAGGGAGAGGAAGAGACCGTGAAAGAGCGGCTGTAGAACTGTGAATTGCTGAGACTTTGATGAGGGGCGGGGAGGGGCACGTCCTGCCTGGACTGCGATAAAGTTTTTTTTGTTGTTCGCTCTCCTCCATTCCCTTCGGGCAGCCGCCAGCTGAGGCATGAAAATCATCAGCCTTCGCCTCCTCTGGCCTACCGCCCATCGCCTTATGCTTTCGCTTTTCTTTTGCACACTTCCTTCTCTTCCTTTGCCTTTACCTTCTTTTACTCCCTCTTTGGCATTACTTTTGTGCTTCACGCGAGAAAAATTTACAAGCGTATAACAAATATTTTGTTTTGTATTTACAATTTCTTTTCTCGTGCTTCGCTTCGTTTTTTTTCGTTTCTCATAATCTCTTTTTTGCTTGGCCACAGCTACTTTTTACCCTCCTGCTTCCTCCTGGGCTCCTGCTTCTCCTTCTTCCTCTCGCTTCTTACTCTCGCTACCTCCTCTACTCCCGTTTCTTCCTTTTTCATCTTCCACTTGTCCTCAAGACCTATTTGCATAAGATACTTTCTGGTTTTGCCTGGCCAGGGGGGCGCGAGAGACAGAGACAGAGAGGACTTTACCTTGTAAGTAGCTTAGGCCTATTGGAAAGTACTACCCAGTACTGCCACTTCCCACGCTTCCCCAAGCAGAAGCTCAGGCCCCCACCCCTCAACAATTGAGTTCTGATGGAGAAGTACTATCCAAATAGAGACGTAGCCACCAATTGAGTTTTCAAAAAGAATTAAAGTTTGAGACACAACGTTTTTTTTTCTGGAAATTTATGTTTCAGCTACAAAGAAATGAAGTTTATAAACAACAGACGACTTTGGAATACTAATTAGACGGGCAGGACGGTGGATTATTTCATTGAAAAAAGGTTGGCAGCCAACGGAAATCCTGTGGAATAAAGGCTCGTCGCTCTTCGCTCTCAGAGAGAGGTAGGAAAAAAGGTTAACATGTGTAAAACTCAATTCGGAATTAAAATTCAATTTGCCAACAGGTAACAAAAAAAGGTCTCAAACTTGCAACCGATTGACCGCAAAGAGAGAGAGAGAGAGAGGGAGAGAGAGAGTAAACTCTAGAACGAGCTCTTCCTGGAGCAATCTAAATTGAGTTATTATTGTAGTACAGAACAGAACAGGGATTTCCTGTAGAGAATTGGTATTTTTCTTGTTTAAATCCTACAGGGTATCCCCTTTGTCTTTAGTCACTCTTCTTGGTTATTATTTATATCTTAGGCGGCCACGATTCCCGTTTAACAACTCATTTAAAAGCAAAGACACATGCGGCATCAGAGATCTTATCGCCGATCTGGAACCTCGCTCTTCCCCTGCCACACGCTGTCTTGGCGGCAACATAAATTTTATTTTGCTTGAATTTATGAGTTACGCTGCAGACAGTGGGAGAGGGAGAGGGGGGCAGATATTTACCAAAGGATTAACACGAAAAAGGAAGTACAGGGAGAATTGTTGGAAATAATGAACTGTCTGTTGTTGCACTTGTTGCTCGGTTTGCTAATAATTTAAACAAATTTACAAATAAATAAGAAAAACACACACACTGGAACACTGGAACACTGGAATGAAAAATGTTTGCCCAAGTCAAAGAAAGGTGTCGCCCGGGAACCCCAACTAGTATTTGGTTATAATTAAAGTCGGTTTCTGTCTGGCTTTTGTCGGGTTTCTTGTGGACCTTTGAAGAAGAACCGCATTGCAGGGCCCCAAACAAAAGCCCCACCGAGAGATGATTTGTTTACATTCTATCTATGAGAAAATGCGCTTGGGTTGCCTCAAGAGTTTTGGTTTTGGTTGTGGGCTTGCTTTGGGGATCACATGTCGTAAGTCCCATAAAAACTGATATCGCTTGTAATTCTAGACACAGATAAACACTGAAATCCAATGGTATTCCAATTTTCACTGCTCTACTTCCTCTAGCATAAATCTTTCGCTTTTTATGGGCCCTACTTCCTCGGGATTTCGTTTCAATTAGTCACCGCACTTTGAAGATTAGAAAACACTTTTTCTAAAGCCAAAAATCGGCTTACCGATCGCCTACCAGAAGCTCAACCTTATGATCTGTAATCCGTTCGGTTCGGTTCGGTTCGTTTTCTTTTGTATCCACTTTTTTCCACTTACCCGCTATTTCCTATAATACTCCAAAATGGTTGGGGCTTTTTTTTACTATGTTCTATTTCGTATTTTCTTTGATCTCTTTTGAATTTTTCAAAACACTAAACACAATATAATTTTTCTGGTATTTTTTTCCTTTTTCAAAACTTTTCTTGATTGAGTTTTGCACGACGCGCGTTGATCTTTAGTTGTATTTTTTTATTTTATTTTTTTCCTCATAAATTCCACTTCACTCAGTCTTGTGTTGTTAAATGTTTCGTATTCCGCTGGACAAAAACTCAGATCGTTCAGGTGGAAAATAACGCGAGACGCACCACGTCCGATGTCGGTGACGTTGATGGAAAAACTGAACGGTAACTGGTTGCCGGCTTGTGAGATACATTCATTCGGGCGGCAAGGCCGTGTTTTCAAAAACCGCCCGCCTGCAAATGTTGCTGGCGCTGCCTGCGAACATGTTGCTCGGCAGGCAGGCAAGCCAGGCAGGCAGACATGCTCGTGCACGTCTGTCGCATCGTGCTCAATCGTGTTTCGGCGTTGAAAATGAACTGAGAGGGAGCCAGATGATGCAAGAGAGCAACCGAAACTGCTCGCTCTTGTTGCAAGTTCAAAGAGATTCTAAATTGTTTGATTTGGGACTTGATTTTGGGGGTTTTCATGAATGTTGCTTAAATAAAACCATTGAAAATTTTTGCTTATCGAACTCCAGATCATATTACCCAAAGCCCAGCAGATTTTTTGGACTACCAAAAAAATGTCTAAATTATTGTTAACAAGGCAATAAAATGGCTAAAATTTTGTTAACATGGCAGTAATTGGGGCAATAATAAAACCATAAATAGTTTTCTGTCTGCGGAGAGCAATGACTCCCAGGAATACTCATAAATTTCTCTGGTTTCCAAAACACTTGGCACAAATGTTTTGTGTTTTTCAATCACAAATCAACTGTAACAATTTCTAGGTATCAATTTTCAAGTGAAAATTGGATTTTTTCAGACCAAGAACAAATTTAATTCATGTTTAATCAGGTTTCATCGTGAAAAAAGCAGAAAGTCTGGGTTTTAAGGAAACCGAATGTTTAGATATGTATCCTTTAGATGCCTTTAAATGATAGACTAAGTCCCCCTTTAGTACAGTATCCCTTCCGTTATCCATTCCCAACATCTGGCAGAAGTCGTAATACCCCTCTCTACCAGAGCAAGGGCATAATATGATCAAGGTCAATGTCTGAGTGGCGGCCTGGGCGGGGTGGCAGCGGGAGTTTAGTGCTTTCCAGGGCTTACAGTTTTTTCCCCAATGCTGCTGCTGGCTCTGCCCTTGCCTCTGCTGCTGCTGTTTTTTCTCTCTCACAATGCAACAACAACAGCAGCCGGCTTTCGAATGAAAATGCAATGTTATTTTTCATATTGCACACACACAAACACAAGCACACAAACCGTGTGCTCTCTCACCCGTATTTCGAGTTCGAAAATGAACTCTCACTCTCTCTCTCGGCTGTTCATTTGGCTCTCTCGTTTGCGCTCGTTTTCCTGCTTTGTTGATGTTGCTTAAATACCTTAGCAACATGCTGCTGCGTATTTATAAATGTTCGTATGTTGCTGTACGCGTTTGCATGTTGCTGTCTACATTTTGTTGTTGCTGTTGGTGCAATTTTTTCTGTTTACGCATTTTTTTCGCACCTCTTCTTATTTTTGTTTACAGTTCTACTTTCTACCTATTTGTTGCACTCCCCCCCCAAACACCCACCCCCTGGCCCGACCCCACCCCCTGCATTCTTTCTGTGTTTTGTTTATAAACATTTTTGCCCCTGCCACCAATACCACGCCTTTTGTCTGGGATTTTTCTTGTGTTTGTTTTGAATGCAATTCTTGTGGAACAGCCGTTGAAAGGTGGCGGGGAGGGCCGAAGGAGAGCTGTGTCAGGGGGGGCATCTGTAGAGTGGAGGCCCTCTTCCACGTTTGATATACAAAAAGTCGAAGAAATATTCTTAATAAATTGTTGGTAACAAATGTTTCTGTAGGCCGCAACTTAGTCAAAGTACAAGGGAGGGTAATACCCTACCCCACCCTGTGGTTGACCCTTCAACGCGCACCCCCCAACCACCCCCCCTCGTATACTCATTAGGCGCGTCAAGTGATATGTTGTTGGGCCTTTTTCCGAAGAGGGTAGGGAATGGATTCACCAAAACACATTAGCAGCTCATTCCACATACCACATGGGGCAAGAGAGAGGCGCAAATTAAAGAAGCATTAGGAGAGGGGGGCTCTATCAAAGAGAGGAGTGGTATGGAGGGGCTAACAATCAGTGGTAGAGGTTAGCAGTCAGGGGGCATGGGCTGCCGTACGACAAATGGCGACCACATACTCGTTCTATGCTCCCAAAAACTCAAAGAAGTTTTCTTTGAGTAGAAGCCGCAGAAAGATACAAAACTAAAAAGTATCTTAAGGCTGCAGAACTCTTAAAAGTTAGAGCAGGAGGATACAAAAGAATCTGAAGCTTAAGCACAATCTTTGGGATTGAAAACTTCCAAGAATTATGAGTTTATGAGATACAAAAGTATTCTAAGCTCAAAAGTAAGGATTTAAGATGCCGACTCTGCATATCCGTGGCTTAAAATAGTAGCTTTTGGGTGCAAAAGATACAAAAGTATCTGAACGTAGCAGGCAAACAAAAGGTACAATTATTAGAGTAGTTGAAGTAATTACTTTTGGAATATTTCTATAAAAAGATACAAAAGTAGGTAGAGCGTACTTCAGAGATACTTTCACAGATATAACCTCTTCAAAAGATAGATAGATTGAGTTACGCTTCATATTCAAAATCATACACCAGATACAAAAAGTATCTTTTCCAGCCAACAATCCTACTGGAAATCCTACCCAAAAAAATCCAACTCTTTCGCACACGAAAAACAATTCAGTTAACAAATCTCTCACTTGGCTTACCAATTAGTCATCCCTCCAGTTTTCAGGTCCCTCAACAAAGTGCCTTTTTTGGTTAGCACCCACACAGATACAGATACACACTCGCACACACTCATAGCTCGGGGGACAGCTGACCAAGCTCGTGTTTGCAGATATAATAATTAATAATTCCGAGGATAATCCGCATGTTTGTCAAAGTGATACGGTCCAGAGAGAGAGAGAGAGGAGAAAATATGTTTGACACAAAAACCCGAAATACAAAAACACGAAATACATACGCTTGCAGATACAAAGATTTAAATATTCCCATTTGTGTGTGTGAGCGTGTAAGCCAAAGATATGTTGCCCTGAAACCATCTGCATAAATACTTATAGATTCCTGGTTCGAGGTGAATTCTTTGGCATCGAACGATGATTGCACAGAAAATTGCAATCGGGGGAGGCTGGACAATACATCTATCTGACTCGGGCACACGTTTTGTATCCGTATCTGTATCTGCACATATTTTTGGCTTATTTATCAGCTGTTCGGCGAGGGCGGGGTGGAAGGTTCTGCCTCAATTTATTTGACATTTTATGTATAAAACTTCATTAGTGCTAAGAAAAATATTATTTCTTCTATCAAATTTTGTGCAAAATACTTCTAAATGAAACCAATTTCAATGGAAATTTGTTATGGGTTGGTTTGCGTTTCTGAAAAAATATTCTAGAATATTTTGTACTCGATTTTTAGCTTGAAAAATACAGGAAAAATATGCTGGAGCTATAGAGAAGTTGAATGGTTTTTTTTTTTGAGAAGTAGCAGGTCTTAAGAACTGTGTATGTTATAGAGGGAGGATGTCTCCACAATCTCTTTAAATATTCTCCCATTTTTTTTAAAGAGAAAGATGGGGAAAATGTTGCAAAAAATAACTCTGAATTTATGTACATTTTATTTAATTATTTTATATTTTATTTAAATATTTTAAGTCCTCTTTTAGAGTTTCTTTAATAAACGAAAAATAAACTTGAGCACTTTCTAAATTCCTCTATTAATAAGCTGCTGGAATCCTGGAAAAATACCAAGCTTTAACAAATAATACTTGGTTTATTTTAGCTTCAAAAGATACTATTTTTATCCATAGATCAAATCTCATGGATAGACCTTTTGGCTCTCAATATAATCTAAAATCTCTAAAATATAATACTTGGTATATATAAGCCTTCAAATATACCTGAAAGATACTATTTTCATCCATAGATAAAATCTCTTAGATAAACCTTTTGGCTGTCAATTTAATCTGAAATCCTTAACATATAATAATTAGTTTATTTAAGCTTTAAAATGTATCTGAAAGATGCTATTTTTATACACAAATAAAAATCCAAATAAAAAGCTAAGAGCCTTCAAATTGTGGACCCTGAGAAAGGTTTTTGTCGGGGTCACCAAAAACGATTTCTTCATTACTCACCCACAAATATTTATCTGTGCTTATGCTATGTATCTTTATAAGTGGGAAACTGTATCTTATCATCAACGTTTCTCGTACAAGTTTCTCCCATCTGTATCTTTATATCTTATCTGACTTTCTGACCTTGTTAAAGTAGTATCCCTAATCTATATAGTTCAAGGTTCTTCAATGTTCTGTTTGCAGGGACGGCATGTAGGCTCTTAAATAATCTCAATGATTTCGCACAATTCTCGTGTGAGATAACACTTGACACAACAAATACGTACGTATAGCACACCCCCGAAACCCCCCTCCATCCCCCTGTGCCAATTTCAAGTGCAATTATAATTTTTGTTTGTCATGCAAAAGCATCAACAAGCAAAAACAATCGACAATGGGGCAAGTGGCAACAACAGAGCTCCAGCTACAAAATGGGGAAAAATACACACACACACAGAGAGAGAGAGAGGAACAAAACGCAGGCGGCAGGCGGCAGGAATTGTGTGGCAAGGAAAGGGCTTTAGGAGGGGGCGGCTTAGACACACGGGGTGTGGATGGACACACGCCCACAATCAAACTGGGTCACACATCGGGGGCCAGCCACCAACCATTGCAATTTGCATATGCATGAGTAGAACAGAACAGAGCAGAGCGAAAGCGAGACAGAGTTACAGATAGTAGGGGCTGGGGTTGAAGGGGAGG